CCAATCTCATCCAATCCTTCCAATCTCTCTTTATCCACTTTTCTACGAAATCAATGTATATCCAACAATGTATACCTTACTTAAGTAGTATTTTTAATAGATTACTGATAAAAAGAAACAAACATGATGTACTAAAAATAGGTCTGCTTTGTTTAAACAATTAAAAAATTAAAAGGATAATCAGCAAAGCAAAAAGAAGATGATTAAATTGCTGCAATTAATAATTCTGCTGATATTAGTCATCATAACTTTATGTACCTCACTTGGCTACCAATCTCCTCCATCCTTTCAATCTCTTTTCATCCCCGTTCCTACAAAATCAAAGTATATCCAACAATGGTACCTCGGCAGATTCATCGAAACCCAATTACTCTTAGAATTTATAATCAGCTTCTTATGCCTGGAATTTTTCGTTATTTTTAAAAGACATTTACAGAGAAACAAAAATACTCCTGATGACTATGGCAAAGTTGGAATCAGAAAATATAGCATTAATTTCAGCCTGCAACATCACGTTATTTACTCAGTTGTGCGGAATATTTGAATCAACTGCGCTTCAAATTATGAAATTAAATCAAATCACATGAAATGATATACCTGACGAAATCAAGAAGTTTTTAAATTCACCTTTGGGCCTTATTTTGGGCGGCTTAGTTTTCTTGGCTTTCTGACTTGCATTGTGTGATCTCTTTTTATTCTCGATCCCTCCACCTTCAGTAGGCCTGGACCCTGAACCTCCGGATACCTTCATTTCGGAGTTCCGTACTTTTCCTTCCTTTCGTCTGTCCGAAATCGTCGCCTTCATTCCAACTCTACCATTTCCATCTCCAAAGGCTGCAACTTTAGGCAGAGAATTAACTAAAGCTGTTCCAGCTCTGCAGACGGGCGGTGGTGGTGGTGGTGCCTTCCTAGCTCGACCTAAATGTCGAGAAAACCGCATGAAACCAGTTAATTCAGCATAAAATATGGCATAATTAAGATTATCTTGACAGTTTTTACTTTCTTTAAGTGGCAATATCAGTATCATTGATACAGTTTTGAGTATGGTGAAATTTTGCCCATGTTTATTAAATGGAATATTATTTAAACGTTCTATTTTCTTGAATCCATATACTATTATTATTATTATTATTATTATTATTATTATTATTATTATTATTATTATTATTATTATTATTATTATTACACCATTATCATTATTATTATTATTATTATTATTATTATTATTATTATTATTATTATTATTATTATTATTA